ATTCACAGACTCAGCAAAAGGTTTAGCATGACACACATAAAGGTTATTCACCTTCTCAGCTTTAAACAAAACAAGCGAGTTTTTCAGGATTTTCATACAACCATTCCCCCATTTTCCCTGTAACCCACTACTCTCCAAAGCAGCAACAGATAACAAGTTATGACACAAATCAGGGACATGCCTCACATTCTTAATGGTAAACACAGAGCCACAAGAAAATTTCAGACATATATCACCAACACCAAGCACATTGCATCTCTTATTATCAGCTAAGGAAACATAGCCACTATCACATAACTCATATGTAGAAAACAAATCTCTAAAGGGGGACATGTGATAGGTACAACCAGAGTCAATCAACCATTCATGCTCAGACAGGGAATTTCTTACAGAATTAACATGGTCACAAACCATCAAAATATCACCAAGGTCACATTTATCAACAGCTACACTAGCATGCTCGGTCTTCTTAGGGTGGGGGCAATCCTTAATGAAATGGCCAGTGTTACCACAATTGTAACACACTCTCTTCCTAGATTTGCTCCTCTTCCTCCCAGGCTGACTAGTGTTCTTACCCTGACTATTTTGCTTAGAGTTCTTAGACCTACCCTTAGATCTACCCCTAACAAACATAGCCTCACCGGAGTCCCTGGACTGACTAGCACTACCCCTAGCATGCTTTAGGTCTAATTCCTTACTCCTTAACCCATTCACCACAATGTCTAATGAAATCTCATCCCTACCGTACTTAATAGCGGACTTAACATCATTATAAGAGTCGGGAATGGCATTAAGTAATACTATGGGAGTGTAATCATCTATGTGTTTATCACCTGCCTGTTTGATATTCTGTATCAGTTTATTAAACACATCCAGGTTCTCATCTATATCCTTAGTCAGGTCAAGCCTAAACCTAAAGAATTTCTCTAGTAAGAACAACTTCCCGGGCAAAGAGGTATCAGTATAGAGACTATCCAATTTCTCCCACAACTCCTTAGCGGACTCAAGAATACCTACTTTCCTAAGCACAGAATCAGACAGATTCAAGTAAATAGTAGAACAAGCAGTTTCGTTCATTTCAATTTGCTTAGCCTTATCTTCTGATTCAAGGAAAATACCAGTGACAGCTCTGAAAACTTTTTGCTGTATTAAAACACACTTTATTTTTTGTTTCCAAATATCAAAATCCGTTTTTCCATTAAATGGAAGCATACCATACTGATTTGCAGCCATGGTATCAACCACAAAGGAACACAAAGCTAAACAGACTGAATTGACAGAAAATAATCCAACCCGGGTTATAAAGTATTCACTTTAATAACCCCGGGCAGCATGCAACACATAGCAAAAAAATGGACATTTTGGCAATTAAACAATTCCGGACAGAAAAAAATTAAAAATTAATTAATTCTACCCCTACCACCCAATAAACCACCCCTACGCATAACAGTTAAATTAAATAACACAAAGCAATTTAATTTAATTCACTAAAACAAACTACCACAAAGGAGTGAGTTTAGAACGTACCTGGGGGGTTGGCGGCCGGGATTAAATCAACCGGCGGCCCGCGGGGAGGGGGAATAAATTAAATTAAAAAATTAAATCCGAAATGCAACAAATGGGAAGTTTACAGAAAACTTACCTTCGCGAAACCCTAGGAGAGCGTTTCGACCTTACCTACCCAATTTTTAAAAAAAAAAATTGGGATTTTTCTGGAGGGGTTGACTGCCGTTGACCGGCGTTGACCACCGTTGACCGGCGGTTGATTGGTTGACCAGTTGCTCCAGCCCGGTCCAAGTCCAGCTGGTCAGCAACAGCAATACACCCAGCTCCAACTTTGTCCTTCACAAAGTCAGCCACGGTCCAGAAAATCAGCAGCCCAAAAAACAGAAGCCCAGCAACACAAAATTCAGCAGCAGTCCACCAGGTCCAAGAGCTAAAAAAATATCAATCGCGTGCAGCTACAGTACTCGTTCCAGCGACGATGTGGCGCGTCATCTTATGCTTTCTGCGAACAGCACATCTGCCACAGCAATTTCGCAGGCAGCTTTGACGGTCGAGCAACGGGTCCACGGTCGGCGAAGCTCCAGCTGCGAATTCCGGCGTCAGCTTCCAGGCGAACTGGAAGGACGACGGTGGTTTCCGGCGAGTTGAAACGGGATGCGGTGCGAGCAGACCTATCTTCGGCTATGGCGGAACTTCAACTCCCGGCGAGCAACTCCCTGCGGCGGCGGACTTCCAGGTGACGGCTGAACAGATTTGAGGCAAACGGGAAGCAACGGCACCAAGCGAAGCTTCAACGAACGACCGGTGACCTCCAGGACCTGAAATCGACAAGCGGCGGCGGACGGCGGCGGAGGGCGGCGGCAGACGGTGGTTCTGGCTCTGATACCACTGTAAGGATCGGATTCCGTCTCCGGCTCAGGTCTTTCTACACATACTCTCACACACCACACTAGGAGGAGGCTATAGCACACCTATCTCTCAACTCTCTTCTTCTAACCACAAAGGAACTCACAAAGAGGAAGAAGGAAGACACTGCTCGCTGGAAGGGCTATTCTGGCAGGCTTAATTCACAAAGGAGGAAAGAGTGTTGACTTATAATAGGCAACCAGCCTATTGAGAAGTCACGGGTAAAGCAATAGTACACTCACGGGTGTGAATAATGGAACTCACGGGTATAAGCCAAGACAAATGGGAGTGCAGCGGACAGCAAGCAATGGGGCATACCAGATAAGTCAAACAGGTATATAATTGATCAGATAATATACCAGGTAAAAGGTATCAAAGAGGGAGTAAATTAATAGGGTGCAAGCCTCAGCTAATAAAGTGGAAGGGAGGCCTTGGTAGGACCAATACCTCCAACAATTTGCAAAGATAAGAAAATAGCTCGAAATAGCAGGTCATCAACCGGTCAGGGACCAGTGAATGAAGATGAGGTGCAAAGGTTGGATTATTCATGAATAATCAAAAGGTTGGATTATTGTAAGAAGACCGCTAAAAGGTTGGATTATTAGTTTCCATTTTCCCAACTAAATATATGGAGACATGGACATACTTTAATAAAAACTTAAAAGATAAGTGCATTTAATACTGAAATTCAAAGAGAATAAATAAAACGTTGTAACGATGCATATCTATGTTTTTAGTGATTCTCGGATAATGGTATTTGAATTTACCTAATGCGAACGGTATGTAAGCAATTGTAATTTCCCACACTACAAAAGACGGCTACTTATTCAATCTCAATACTTATTATTTAGAGGTGTTTGGATCTACTTTTTGAATCTGAATACTTATTTAGGGAGTGTTTGAACTACTTTTTAAAATGCTTCTGCTCTTTCAATAACTAAAAGCAGATATTGGAATGTTTAAGTGAAAGTGCAGAAGTTGGGAGATATCAGATTCTGAAAATCTGGTTTTAGTTCTACTCCTGCTTTCAAAAAAGAAGTAGAAGCAAAATTAATTTCAAATACCCCCTTCTTTAATTACCTCCAGGGAGCGTCTGGGGGAGGGGAGTTTGGAGGACCTGGAGTAATGAGGCCTGAAACTCACTCCATTGAATTTCGAACCCGGGACCTGGAGTAATTTCAAATACCCCTTATAATGGTATACATTTGATACTATCAGTGAGACTCAATAATAGTCATGGATCGGTCCCGGACCGGGGTCCAGTCCTGGACGGGCTTTTTGGGTTTGGCTTCGGGCCCGGAATTGGCCCGGGTTTCCACCGGGTCCGGGCCGGTCCCCGGACTTCTTCATTTTTTTGTTTTTTGCTTTTCTAGTTTCTACTCAACCCTGACCACCCCCGACCCCCCCCCCCCCCCCAAACAACTCGGGAAAACAAAAAAAATGGGAAAAAATAGGCCCGAACCGGGCTGGGCCGGTTCCTATTTTGGGTGACGTGGGCCCGACCCGTATAACCCCCGGGCCGGGCCACGGGCCGGTCAGCCCTGAACCGGTCCATGACTACTCACTAACCAATATTGACTTTCGTTAGACTTTGCTTTTATGAAAAGTTCATTACTAATTCAGATGCTTCCTTCACATCATATAGACAAGGAATAATGTTCGAGTACAATTTAGTAATTCAGAATTTCAGGTGCTTCAAATCATTGTATATCCGGAATTTGAATTGTCTTATTCAAATCACGAACCGAACATAAATTATTTGATTCATATACAATCCTACGTGTTGCGCTGTACCTGGTGCACGAGTATAAAACATACCACTATTGGACCGACTGAGTCACCATGACTTACATCCTCTCATATGCATTGTCGAGTCCGGGCATGAGGGACCTTTGGGATTGGAGATCCAACGTTTTGGAACAATGCAAGGGTCGGCTACAAAATTGGCTCTGCACCAAATTTTGGTGGTCCACTTCATCAATTTTCAGCAAAAAGGCTCTAGTATACTTTGGTCACAATTAAAATCCATGGCAGACAAATAAAGGTAGTGGAACAAGTTTTATAGCATCATTCTTTGAAGGCACTCAAGGAGCCACTGCTGAGTGCTGAATGCCTGAATATATTAAAAAAATCATATTAGAATCTTTTCAACTTGGCCGATAAAGTGCCAAAAAACACAAGATTTTTTATCAAAACTTTGGATTTTGCCTTCAGCCTAAAAGCAATTGTATATGCAAAGTTTGAAGAACTAACAATTGATTTCATATACCCAAAATTTAACTAAACGGGAAGAGGCAAAATGTGCAATCTGACAAGTTCTTCTATGTTCATATATAAACTCGAGCTTCCAGAATGATAGATGTTGAACTTCACAAAACAGCCAACCATGTCGCTGCATATAATTAAAATTAGTATGCATTACAACATACGAAAATTTCAGACAAAAGGTTGAGAACGATTAACGAAAACTCAACATAAAGATTTACCGGAGTTTGACTGGCATACACCCATGTAATTGGATTTACAAATTCAAATTCTACAGCAAAATACTGGTTGTCAAAATTGGAAAGAACAAATTATGCAGACAAATGAAATGTAAAATTAACAGAAAATTATATTTAATTTTGCCGGTGAACAAATCGATAAAGGAACAAATTAACATCCAAAAGATTCCATAAACGTCAAAAACCACTTCATACTAGTAAACCCTAATCATAAGGTACTTCAACTAGATCCATATATCTAAACTGATCTTCAGCTGCTTGTAAACTTAGTCACCGCCTTTGTTCCCTCGGAAACGGCGTGCTTGGCCAATTCTCCGGGCAGTACAAGCCTCACCGCCGTCTGAATCTCCCTGGAGGTGATAGTCGGCTTCTTATTGTAGCGGGCAAGCCTGGACGACTCCTGAGCGAGCTTCTCAAAGATGTCGTTGATGAAGCTGTTCATGATTCCCATCGCCTTGGAGGAGATCCCGATGTCGGGATGAACTTGCTTCAGGACCTTAAAGATGTAGATCTTGTAGGTCTCGACGCTCTTCTTTGGCCTCTTCTTCTTCTTGTCGCCGGCAGCGGCGGCGTCCTTGGGGACCTTCTTCCCGGCCTTCGATGGCTTCTTTTCCGCCGCAGTTGTCTCGGCGGGGACGGTCTTCTTCTCCTCTGCTGGTTTCTTCTCGGCGACCTTCTTGTCTGCTGTTGCCTTTGGCGCCATTGTAATCGCAGTAAGATTACTCTGAAATGAGGAAATTGAAATTTTATAGAGATTTATCGCAGTGAAGAAAATAACTTGATTGAGAATGAGGAAGTAAAGGTTCGGTGATAAGTATATATAGGAGATCGGTCTGGAATGTAATTGGTTTGGCAATGCGGACGCGGATTGATGAGCTGGAAGACGGGCGGGCGTTGGATAAGAAGATTACCATAAGATGGAAAATGAACGCGGAGGATTGAATAATCAAATTTTGATTCGCGCTTTTTAGAGGGCGGTAGGAGAACGAATGAGTTTTCGAGGATTTTGATTTCGCGCCTGAACTTTCAAAAGTACGTCGGATACAGTACACGGAGTATTTCAAAAGTTCATACGGGGTATTTATTTCAAATATTTTAAGAACCCATATATGATGATTCAAATTTTCACTTTTATCGATCTATTATTTTATCAAGCAAAAACTTTATAAATTCAGTAATAAACAAAATTAGAAAGTTGGAATTCCTTTTCTGACGAGATTGAGTAAAGTTATTGTAGAGAGTCATTTTAGTTATATTTTCATATGATACTTTCTTTATTTTATCAATAAAATATACAGAGTATGTCCTATTATAAAAGCAGTCTAACTTTTTTATAATTCAGTACATCCAATTCAACCGTTTCAGTTAGAATTTTATCAATTTCATCAGAATTGACCAATGTAGCCATTTAATGTTATCAAACAAGCTCGATGACTTTATTTGATATGATTATCTCTTCAATCTTGAAATTTTAACAACTTATTAACAATTGTTTATTTTATTTCACAAACATAGTTTTCACTTTAACTCCTCTCAGTTGTTTTGCCTTTTGTTTGTCATCTCAACTAAAATAGTGGTGCCTCCGATTCCAAATTGAATCGAAATCGAAACTGGTCTACTGATTTGCAGTTTCAAATTTCGGGGAACTGGAGCCGCACTATATGGATCATCATTTAGCCTGTGTACTTATGGGCCCGTGGGGGGCCTACCCGCCCCATTTGCCCAACAGCCCTGTCCAGCCCATAAGGGCCACAGGCCGGCCCAATCCACTATTTGAAACCCGTCCCAGCCCATTTGTGACACTGTTCCAGGTTTGAACTTGGACTATTAATCCATTACTATTAAAGTTTAATTATAACAACAAATACTAATCATCTTGAGAGTGATTAGTAGACTTGATGAATATAATATTCATTTTGAAACTAGTTACTAGTTATATGAATCATATGAGAAATGTTCAATTGATTTAATTAATAGTGATTAATTAAATTGTGTACCGATTCCGAAAAATGGGGAGGGGCTAACTAATATTTATAGTTTCTCGGCAAAACACTAGTGATAATATTATAGATATATAGAAGGAAGAGCTAAGAGTTGGAGAGAAAAAGAGTTTGATATTAAATGTGATTCGGACCCTTTACAACTACCCCAATGAGTGTATTTATACTAGTAGTACTTAATGAGGAGGTGCATTAAATGTATTACATGTGTTGGCTCTATGGGCAAGAGCCTTGGGACGTAGCAGAACTTGACGTGTGCAGGGGCGTAGCTAGGGAGGGACAAACTCCGGCCCTGGCCCCGACCCAACCCATATTTAAAAAACGTGTGTATTTTTAGTGTGAAAAATTCTGTGTAAAAGTTTTTTTCAAAAATATTATTTGTACTGGCCCAGTTCGGCCCAATGTCCTAGCTTTGCCCCTGGACGTGTGTCATTCTTGAACCGATGTCTGGCCATGTGTTCTCTGTTGACCCAGGTGACGGTGGCCAAGGTGCAAGGGTGCACCCCGGGTATGGTGTTGTCTTTGCTCATGAGTGATTTGTCTGGATCTTGGTCCCAGGTGATGCTCGAGGTGACGGTACGGACAATGGGCATACTTCTTCATTCTGGACTGGATTTGGTTGAGAGACCCCAAGTAGTATGATGGTTTGGGCCGTTGTGTATCCAAGAGTATGTGGGTCGTGGATCCACGCTCATATACTATATCAGGAGTCCCTCACTCTTTAAACCGAGAACCTTCGAGGTGAAAGGGAGTAGGATTAATGTTTGATTTTGGTTTTGCTTTTTTATTTATGTGTTTGGTGCCGAGATGACTGAGTCGGTTGTGATGAAGTCATCCTCACGTCTTTGTTGGTGTTTTTCTGTGTTTTTCCTTTTTTTTTAAAATTTTGGTCGAGGTGTAGCTCCCCCAGTCCCCCACTCCTGAAGCCGATATGACTATCGGGTTTGAGGAGTAATAACTTGCATGCCGGGATGCCACCTTTGAATTGGTCTTGGGATCTAATCTCATTGGCGAACCCCGAACAAGGCAACCCTTTGGGAGAATCATTGGACGAAGGTCGCTGGCCAGAGACCATCACTGTGGTCTGTGGTGTTCAATTCGATGGAATTACTCCAATCTTTTATTTGGAGAATTCATACCTGATGTGTTTGTCTATTTGATGTCGATGTGATGCCTTTACCGGCATGTAGGTGTTAAGGCGCATTTTCCTGATGGGACTATGGTGCCCCTGAGCTTCATGTTGTGGTGCTATTTGTTTGGTTAACCGCGGTGCATCTCAATGGGAAACGTATGTGACAGGTGGCCTGAGTTGATTGTCTAGATGTGGGCGGTCATATAGATTGAACCGAGTGGAAACCGGTGTGTTGACACATGTTGTAGCCGTTAAGGTGCCATCCATGCTTTCCCTATAAATACCACCCTTATAATTCATTTATGACTTGTGTTTTCTTGATATTAGGGTGAAGTGTTGCCGAATTCCAGAGAGAGAAAATCATTTATTGTTCTTCATCCATCTTCAAAACCTCAAGGCCAAATATTCACTTGTTCTTCATCAAGTTTTCATACTTAGCTTGCAGAGCCTTTGATTTTGTGTTAGTAAACATTCGTCATTTGATCCGTTAGGAGGCTAAGTTTAGACTTGTTAGTGATGTCATCCTCGAATTCGCAAAACATCTCAGGGATGCCACCAGTGAACTCAGAGGTTGAGGAGTACTGCTCTGACTCGGACAATTGAGTCGTACCCGAAGATTTCAGTGCACCCCATACATAAGTTTGATGCCGAGGTGGATGAAATGAGCGAGTTTGATGACTAAGAAGAGGCCGAGTCATCTAGGGCAGCCGAGAAGAGAGACTAGGCTGACCCCTCCACTTCAGACCAACACCCTGTGCAGAAGTAATGGAACTGCTGACGTACTCCTCCGGGGGTGCAAAAGGGTGCTCTTTTCCGGATTTCTCCCTTATGTTGGATACCTGCCCCGCTAATTTCGAGTGCGATATTTATTGCGCTCAAATGTTCGTCGGGCCGTATGCGACAGTGAGGGAAGTGCCACCTACCGATTGCATCCTCAAACCGCCGAGGGGATTCTTTGGGGCATTCACGTTTTGCATATCGAAGGGCTTTAGATTTCCCTTCACCCCTTCCTTATCATGTACCTGGACTTTGTAGAACTGCGGCCTGATTAGTTGCCCCCCAATAGCTATGCCCTCATCACAGGATTCATGTTGCGCTGCTTTGGCATTTGTGTCACCCTGTCATTGAGGCTATTCGTAAACTTGTTCAACTTGAGCCAAGGTCAACACAAAAACTATGGAGGTTTTGCAAACTTCTACAACTGCTGAAAAGGAGGAACTTTAAAGGACTCACAACCTCCATCCAAGGTTGAAAAGCCCGGTTCATGTATGTGTCGATTGGGAATGAGAGGATCATTCCCTCGAATTACTGTAAGGTGTTCAACAAGCACAATCCTCCGGGGGAGGTCTTGGACAACGACATGGTGGATGTTGTGCAGATATTTTTGCGGGACGGCCCTCGTGATTTGACAAAGTACCTCACAGAGGAGAGGATGGTGCTCCTCGGATATGAACACTGTTGACTTCTCAGAGAGGAGAGAGACAGGTTGTTTCCCAAGATGGATGAGGAGTATGTGCGTGCAAAACGGGTTGAAGAGCAAGGGGGATGCGTACAATATGGATGATAGAGAGAATGCGAGTCAAGGTGGCAAATAGAGCTGAAAAGAAGACTGAAGAGACAGAAGATAATCTATATGGCAAGGAGGTAGAGATGGACTAGGGCAATACAAAAAACAGAGAGGGGGCGAGCTACAGCCCTGTGGGTCGCCTAACACGTCACCAAGTCCCGTTCATGTCCAGCAGGAATGGAGGAGGGAAGCGGGTGAGCTCGAGGAAGTATACTTTTGTCTCTTTTATTTTATTTATTTCCAGAACTATGTTTTCGTTATTGTTGCAGACAATATTGGTACTTGTTCTGTCGGTTTTTTTTTTCTAAATACTTTTTCTAGGGGTGGAAGTGATGAGGCTAGTGTGGCTAGATAGCAAAAGCTTCGAAGCTCTCACATGGTTAGCGATTAGTCTCGCTCGTAATTGGGTGGACTATTCTGTGTCTAGTCAGAGAGTGTGAGGGCCGTTTGGCTACGCGAAGTCTCAGAGGGAGGCTTGGCTGTGTTTTGATGTTAAGTTGTTGATTGCTTTGATATCTATAATACGATAGTACTCCATCCGTCCCTTAAAACTTTGTCATCTTTCCTTTTTGGGATGTCCCAAAAAACTTTGTCACTTCCCCTTTAATCAATTATTTTGTGGTTTCTGTTATTTTTTTTTGCTTCTGCACTAACCTCAACCACACAGTTTTTACGTTATTATTCTCCGTACTGGTCAACTTTGGCAAAGTTTTAAGGGGCGGATGTAGTATAAGTTATTTCCTTAAAAAAAAAACTATTTGGGCATGCATGCTCATATTTGCCATGTGCAGATATCGATTCCAAGTACATTGTTTTCCACTGTGTACTTGATTTGCTTTACTTATGATTGTTTATGGATGATATATGTTTGAACGACATGACACATTATATGATTCGAGTAAGCTTGACCGCGGTTCAATTATTCGGTTTGTACCACTACTAGAATTTTTGTCATTTGATGTTGTCATTTTGCCGGTTTTAGCCATACCTACAGCAAAATGTTAATATTTAGAACTATTTGCGGCGGTTACTTAGGAACCACAACATTTTCTTCGGAAAATTTAGTGTATCTATTGCAGTCACAATGGAACCGCA